ATGATTCTCTCTCATTGATGTTTCTCTCTCCCTAACCCTCTCCCTTCCTCTCTGAAATCAATAAATGTTTAAACAAACAAACAACCCCCCTCCTCTGCAGTTTCTACCTGAGATGGTTGCTATTTCATTCCCCACTGTCTTTATGGGCAGCAGTCAAATCATGGACTCATCCTTATCCGCGAGGGGATTGTACTGCCCCCTAACTTCAAGTGGTCTGACTGCATTAGTTTTTCTTAATTTCTCTAAACTGCCTGCTTGGCACAATTCGTTTTCTATCTCCTCACCCCCACTTCTTGTAAGGGCATTCTCTGTTCTGTTCCTGCTCTCCTGTCCCCCAGCCCCGGGGTCGGCAAACCACAGCTCATGAGCCACATGGGGCTCCCTGGGCCCTGGAGGGCGGCTCTTCCACAAAATACCACGGCCTGGGCGAGTCTATGTTGAAGAAGTGGCGTTAGAACTTTTTAAAAAATTGGGCTCTCTGCCCTAACCGGTGTGGCTCAGTAGATAGAGCGTCGGCCTGCAGACTGAAGGGTCCCGGGTTCGATTCCGGTCAAGGGCATGTGCCTTGGCTGCAGGCACATCCCCAGTGGGGGGTGTGCAGGAGGCAGCTGATCGGTGTTTCTCTCTCATCGATGTTTCTAGCTCTCTATCCCTCTCCCTTCCTCTTTGTAAAAAACAAAAATCAATAAAATATATTTTTAAAAAAGAAAAAGAAAAAAAATATCCAAGCGGAGAGACGTCCGGCGGGCAATGGGATGAGAGTGGGAACCAGGCCAGCGCGGCCCTGGAGCAGACTCCATCCCGCCTCCGCTCTCTCCGGCCCTAAAGACCAGCGCCGCTTCTCCCCATTTCTGAGACGGGGAAACTGAGGCCGCCGCCGCGTCCGCTGCGGGCACGTCGGGACGTGAGGCAGGAGGTACCCTCCCGGTTCACAGAGGGGGAACCGAGGCCGAGCCAGGGCTCCGGGGTCACGGCCGGACCCCGCGGGACCGGGCGCCCCGTTAGCTCCGCCGGTGGGGGCGGGGTGAGCGGCGGCCCGTTGCCATGGAGACACACCCAGCACGCCGGGATTGGGCGCGGGGCTTCGGCCCAGGCCCCTCCTCCTCCTTCCTCGGCCCCAAGGGCCCCCCGTTTCCCAAGTGCCCGGCTGCGTCCCGCCTCCTCCGGTCTCCACGGCGACGCCACCACGGCCCCTCCTCCTCCCTCGGCGCAGCTCGGGTCTCCCTCCTCCTCCCCGCCTCCGCCGTCCGCACGTCTGCGCATGCGCGGCCTCGGCGCGCGACCCCACGGGAAGCCCCGTCTGCCTTCTGGGAAATGTAGTCCGAAAGCCCGGCGGAGCGCTAGGTAGGAGAGGCCGTCTTTGTGCCGGCCAATAGGCGCCTCGGCTGGCGAGCCCGCGGTGCATCTTGGGAAATGTATTTCTGGCGCTGGCGGAGCCGCTCGGGGGAGGGGGGACGGACGCGCACGTGAGGAGAGAGCCAATGGGAAGCCTCCCTTGCCGCGCGGCTCCCTGGGAAATGTAGTTCCGGCGAGCTCCGTCGGGCTGCGCGGGGGGCGGGGGGGAGGTTCGTCAGGCGGAACGGAGCACTAGGTCCCCGGGGGAGTGGTGGGGGGGGAGGGGAGGGGAGGACGGAAGAGTTTGGCGCAAGGCCTGCCGGGGCATGGAGTCCCGGTGAGCGTTGTGCGCATGTGCGAGGAGGCGCAGGGGGTTTGGGGGGGCCTCGCCGGGGAGAGTGAGGTGAGTGCGGGGACGTGAGGGAGGGTTTGGGGGGAGAGGTTCGAGCTTTTGGGGGGTGCAGGGCGCCGGTGAAGGGCGGGCGGGAGGGGGCGATGTGGGGAGGGGGGAACAAGGGGGTCGCGGTGGGGGAGGGGGTGGGGGAGGGGAGGTCGATCGGGAGGGGGAGAGAGTCTGGGGGAGGGGGGGTCGATCGGGAGAGGGAGGGGGTCAGGGGTAGGGGGGGTCGCAGGAAAGAGTTGGAAACAGAGCGAGTGGAGTTGGGGACGGCCTTGGAAGGGGGGCGAGGGGAGGGCGAGGGGACCCCGGCCGGGGGAGGGGGAAGGGGTGGGGACGGGGCCCTGGGGATGAGTCTGGGACCCCATGTTTGGGTGAAGGGGCTTTAGGGGGAGGGCATGCCCCGCCCCCCCGCAGACGGGGTGCAGGTGAATCCTTTCCCGTGCGCTTTCCACTACTTTGCGAAGTTGGGGGGTTCTCCAAGATTTCTGTGTTTCTGTCTTTTTTATTATTTTTATTTTCTTAATTTTATTGATTTTCACAGAGAGGAAGGGAGAGGGATAGAGAGCTAGAAACATGGACCAGCTGCCTCCTGCACACCTCCCACTGGGGATGTGCCCGCAACCAAGGTCCATGCCCCTGACCGGAATCGAACCCGGGACCCTTCCGTCCGCAGGCCAGCCCTCTATCCACTGAGCCACACCAGTCTCGGCTGGGTTTCTGTCTTGATGAGGAGTGTGTCCCGCCCCACCTCCCCGCCTCTGACTCTTGTGACTCTTATCACCTGAGACCGCCCCCCTCCCCCTGCCACTCCCCTCCACCCGACAGCCTCCAACCTGTGTCTTTTATGCCTTTACTTTTAAATATATATATTTTAACACATGCATTGCTTTCAGGGAGGAAGGGAGAGGGAGAGAGAGAAGTAGGAACATCCACCATGAGAGAGAATCATGGCTTGGCTGCCTCCTGCACGCCCGGCACTGGGGGGATGGAACCCTGGCCGGGAATCGAACCTTGACCTCCTGGTTCATAGGTCAGTGCTCAGCCAGGGAGCCAGGCAGGCCTGGCTGCTTCTTATCTTAATGCCTATTCCAGTTTGCAGCTAACTTCCAATGCATGTAGGTGCTTGTGGGGCCCTGGGCTGGAGGCCTTGATGACCCCGAGGTTGGGGGTTCCATCCCCGGTCAGGGCACATGCAAGAATCAGCCAATGGCCCTGGCTGGCGTGGCTCAGTGGATAGAGCGTCGGCCTGCTGACTGAAGAGTCCCGGGTTCCATTTCCGCCAAGGGCACATGCCCGGGTTGCTGGCTCCATCACCAGTAGGGGGCGTGCAGGAGGCAGCCGACCCATTATTCTCTCTCACCATGGATGTTTCTCTTTCCCTCTCCCTCTCTCTTCCTCTCTGAAATCAATAAAAAAATACTTTTTAAAGGAAGAATCAACTAATGAATGCACCCATAGGTGGCACAACAAATCAATGTTTCTCTCTCTCCCTTTCTCCATCTCTTTCAAATTGGTAAATACAAATTAAAAAATAATTGAGTTATGGAAAGAGGGGTATAAGGGGGGGGGTGATGCTGCTATTAAAAAATGAGCACATGCATCTAATTTAAAATAGTTTTTATTATTTTTTTTATAAAATTAATTATATTTTTAATCAGAGAGGAAAGGAGAGGGAGAGAGAGTGAGCAACATCAGTGATGGGAGAGGATCATTGATTGGCTGCTTCCTGTACATGCCCCCACTGGGGATCCAGCCCACAACCTGGGCCTGTGCCCTTGGCTGGAATTGAACCCGGGACCTTTCAGTCTGCAGGCCGACGCTCTATCCACTGAGCCACACCGGCTGGGGCCGTGGTCGGCAAACTGCGGCTCTCAAGCCACATGCGGCTCTTTGGCCCCTTGAGTGTGGCTCTTCCATAAAATACCACGGCCTGGGCGAGTCTCTTTTGAAGAAGTGGCGTTAGAAGAAGCGTAAAAGTTTAATAAATTGCAATCCTTGTACTGTTGATATTTGGCTCTGTTGACTAATGAGTTTGCCGACCACTGGACTGGGGCGAACACTTTTATCGATTGATTTTTAGAGAGAGGAAGGTCAAGAGGAATATTGATTTGCGGTTCCTTCGATTTATGCGTTCATTGGTTGCTTGTTGTTGTTGTTCCTCACTGAGGATGTTTCTGCGTTGATTCTTAGGGACGTGGAAGAGAGAGGGAGAGACAGAGACACATCGATGTGAGAGAAACACACCCGTTGGCCGCCTCCTGCACAAGCCTGGCCGGGGAAGAGCCCACAATCAAGGTACGTGCCCTCGACCGGAATCGAACCCGGGACCCTTTGGTCCACAGGCCAGGGCCATTGGTTGATCCTGGTATGTGCCCTGACCGGGGATCGAACCCACAACCGTGGAGTATCGGGACAGAGGGTTGAATTGTTACTGCAGCTCCTGAGTCTGTGATTTTAGCCCCGGGAACGGAGGCCGTGTACCTTGTTCAAGGACAGCTGGCGGCTGGTCGGGGTGGGGGCGGGGGGTGGGAGTCCTTGTGGGCGGGGACGTGTGCAATGTGTGTGGGCATGTTTGGTGGCAGAACGGGGGAGGAGCTACTGGCCCCCGGTGGAGAGAAGGTCAGCATCTATTTTTCTTTTTAAGTTTTTATTGAATTTATTTATTTTTAGGGTCAGGGTTAGGGCTAGAGGTAGGGTTTATTGAATTTATTAGGATGACATTAAGAACAGTATGCTGTTGTTTTTTTAAATATATATTTTTTGTTGACTTTAGAGAGGAAGAGAGAGAGAGTGAAACATCTATGATGAAAGAGAATCATGGATCAGCTGCCTCCTGCACACCCTCTACTGGGGATCAAGCCCACAACCTGGGCCTGTGCCCTTGGCCGGAATCAAACCCAGGGCCCTAACCCAGGACCCTTCAGTCTGCAGGCTGATGCTCTGTTCACTGAGCCTTGTATGTGCCCTGACTGGGAATCAAACCGGTAGCCTTTGGGTTCATGGGACAACGCCTAACCCATTGAGCCACCTTGTCCAGGACAGTGCTGCTTTGTTTTATGAGGGTGTCGGGGACGGGGGGAAACTGAGGCAGAGAGAGGCGGCATCACTTGCTCCAAGCCACTCTGGCCCTGAGGGGGGACGCTGGGGGTGTGCACCCGCACCCCTGCTCCCATCCCTTGGCGGCCGGAGGTGCCCTCACCGTGCCCGGTGTCCCTCCCCGCAGGTGCCGCCGTCCCCGCCGCCCCGCCCGGGCTCGCCGGCCGCCATGGAGATCCCTGCGCCCCAGCCCCAGCCGGTGAAGCAGGAGGGCCCGGCCGCCGAGCTGCTGGTGCTGGACTCGCCGTGGCACCGCTTCCGCCGCTTCCACCTGGGCGACGCGCCGGGCCCGCGGGAGGCGCTGGGGCTGCTGCGCGCGCTGTGCCGGGCCTGGCTGCAGCCCGAGCTGCGCACCAAGGAGCAGATGCTGGAGCTGCTGGTGCTGGAGCAGTTCCTGAGCGCCTTCCCCGCCGACGTGCAGGCCTGGGTGTGCAGCCGGCGGCCGCAGAGCGGCGAGGAGGCGCTGGCGCTGCTGGAGGAGCTCTGGGTGAGCGCGGGGGGCGCGGGGGGTGCGGGGGCGGCTGGGGCAGCGGGTGGGGGGGACCCCGCTCCCTGGCGCCTCCCTGTGCGTGGACAGGCCCGCCCCACAGCCTCGCCACAGCCTGGGGTCCCAGGGTGTGTGATGGGGGCGCTGCCGGCGGGAGCCTCAGGCGGGTGGTACCCTTTATGTGTTTGTTATTTTTTGTTATTTATTTGTTTGTTTATTTATTTATTTATTGTTAAATATATTTTATTGGCTTTTGACAGAGAGGCAGGGGGAAGGATAGAGAGTTAGCTCTCTCTGCTGAGCCAAACCGGTTTTGGCACTTTTTTATTTTTATTGATTTCAGAGAGGAGGGGAGAGGGAGAGGGAGAGGGAGAGGGAGAGGGAGAGAAACACCCAGGATGTGAGAGAATCATGGATCGGCTGCCTCCTGCATCCCTCCCCACTGGGGACCGAGCCCACAACCCGGGCATGTACCCTTGACCAGAGTCGAACCCAGGACCTTTCAGTCCACAGGCCGACGCTCTGTCCACCGAGCCAAACTGTCTAGGGCTCTGTGGTTCCTTTTTCATCCTCACTTGAGGGTATTTTCCTATTGACTTTATTTGTTAATTTTAAGATATGTTTGATTGATTCCTTACAGAAAGGAAGGGAGAGGGATAGAGAGCTAGAAACATCGATGAGAGAGAAACATCGATCAGCTGCCCCCTGAACACACACACCCCCCCCCCCCATTGGAGATGGCCCGCAACTAAGGTACATGCCCTTGACCGGAAACCAATGCTCTATCTACTGAGCCAAACCAGTGTTGGCGGCCCCCTGAGTTTTTAGCAAAGGCAGCTGAGGAGTACCCTAATTAAGTTAATAACAATGTACCTACCTGTATAGTTTAAAAAATGTGGCTCTCCAAAGAAACTTCCATCGTTATACTGTTGCTATTTGGCTCTGTTGACTAAAGAGTTTGCCAATCACTGGCCTAAGACACCCTGCTTATCAGCTGTTTCCATTACGATTCGTAACAGTAACAAAATGACAGTTACGGAGTAGCAACGGAAGTAATTATATGGGCCGGGACCTGTTTGGCTCAATGGATAGAGCATCGGCTTGGGGACTGAAGGGTCCTGGGTTCGATTCCGGTCAAGGGCATGTACCTTGGTTGCGGGCACATCCCCAGTAGGGGTGTGCAGGAGGCAGCTGATGGATATTTCTCTCTCCATGTTTCTCGCTCTCTATCCCTCTCCCTTACTCTCTGTACAAAATCAATAAAATATATTTTTTTTTAAAAAAAGAAAGTAATTATATGGCAGAGGCGCACAGGCTGACCGGGCCCCACAGATGGCAGCTGGTGTGCTGGGGGGATCGCTCTGCCGTGGGGGTTACCACTGAGACCTTGGGGGTTGGAACCCCAGGCTGCACCCCAACCAAGAGCACCAGGACCAGGACGGAGGAGGATGGGGCCAGGAGTTGCTGTCTGCGGGGGAGAGGTGGCGGGGAATGCAGATACCCTCTTAAAGGGCCAGCACACATGGTTTTGCGGGCAGCCCCTCCCCCTGGTCCCCGGCAGAGAAAGGGCAGAGCGGACTGGAGCTGTGTGAGCACAAGCCGGGGTGGGGGGCTCCGGTCAGACTGTGGGAGGCAGACACCCCATTCTGTCCCAGAGTTTGCAAAGGGCAGGAAGAAGCTCAGGCAGCCTGGCTGGTGGGGCGCAGTGGTTGCTCCAGGAGGTCAGGGTTCCATTCCCAGGTTGCAGCCTCTGCCCCCAGTGGAGGGTGTGCAGGGGGCAGCCTGGTCCATGGTTCTCTCTCATCGCTGATGTTTCTGTCTCTCCCTCTCCCATAAAAAACTAACAAACAACAAAAAAGCAGCAGCAGCAGCAGCTAGTGCACCATTCAGAGCAGGTGTATTGGTCAGCTGTAGCTGTGTAACAGGTGGCCCCAATCTGAGTGGTTTAAAAATAAACGTAGCATCCCACGCAGTCTCTGGGGGTTGGGGTCTGGCGCCACGTATCAGGGGTTGCAGCTAAGGTGTCGGCTGAGGCTGTGGTCCCCTGTAGGCTGGGGCTGGGGGCTGGGGGCGGGTGGGCTCTCACAGGCCTCATGTGGGGTGGCCGAGCGAGCATCCCCCGGCTCGGCAGCCCTCGCGCTCGGACTGGTGAGAGGTGGGAGGAGCCGTGGGGGGGGAGAGGGGGCGGAAAGTGCAGGCCATCCCTCGGGCGTCTCACCTCAATACGGCATCTTGTTCCAGGGACCAGGGATGCGGGGCCCCCGGGAGGGGACGGAGGGGGCCGGGGTCGGCCTCCAGAAGGACGACAGCGGGATGATGGCGCTAGGTGAGTGGCCGGCCCTTCCCGCCCCACGGCTTTCTCCAGGCCCAGCGCGGGGTCTCCCGCCCGCCCCTCAGCATCTCAGTGGGTGTCCCTGGCTGCCCCCTTGCTGTAGGCCCCAGACCCTGCGCTGGGCTCGCGCAGGAGGGCAAAGTGGGGGGCAGGGAGGGGGCTGGACAAGAGCGCCCCCCAGCGACAGGCCCAGGGAGGTTCTGGCCCGCGAGCTGCAATCCCACCGCAGCCCGGTAGTGCTGTGCGGTAGTGCCCGCGTCCTGTGGCTGCAGCCGCCCTGTCCCGGTCACCCGTGACGGTGGGAGGGAGGTCAGGCGCACCTGTGGGAGAGGGGATGGGGCAGGGCCTGGGGCAGACGCACAGCGGGATGCTCTCCTGGTGCCGGGAGAGGGCTGTGTCCTAACGGCAGCTTGAGGGTCATCTCAGGGCCGATGGGGAGGCCAGGGCAGGGAGGACCCAGGGAGAGTGGGGAGGGTCACAGGACAGGGACCACCCAGCCATCATCCACCCATCCATCATCCATCCACCCACCTACCCACCCACCCACCCATCCATCATCCATCCACCTATCCATCCACCCATCATTCCTCCACCCACCTATCCATCCACCCATCCACCCACCCACCCACCCACCCATTCACCCACCCATCATCCGTCCATCCACCTACCCACCCACCCATCCAGCCATCCAGCCATCCATCCACCCACCCATCCATCCATCCATCCATCCACCACTCACCCATCTATCCATCCACTTACCCACCCACCCATCCATCCATCCACCTAGCCATCATCCATCCATCCACCCACCCACGCACCCATCCATCCATCCACCCACCCATCCATCTATCCATCCACTCATCCACCCACCCACTCACCCATCCATCCACCCACCTATCCACCCATCCATCCACTCATCCATCCATCCACCCACCCATCCACCTACCCACCCATCCATTCATCCACCCACCTATCCACCCATCCATCATCCATCCACCCACCCACCCACCCATCCATCCACTCACCCACCCACCTACCCACCTATCCATCATTCCTCCATCCACCCACCCACCTACCCATCCATCCATGCATCCATCCACCCATCTACCCACCATCTACCTACCATCAATCCATGCATCTGCCCACCTACCTCTCCATCATCCATACGTCCAGCCACCCATCTGTCTACCTCCATCTCCCTACCCATCCATCCATCCATCCATCCATCCACCTCCTCATCCTCCATCCACCCACCTGCCCACCAATCATCCGCCCATTCACCGATCCGTTCATCTAGCATCATCCATCCATCCCCTCGCATGTACTCATTCCTCTCCCCATTTCCTCCTCCCTTCTTCCATCTACCCGCCGACCTGCCTTCCATCCCTCCGATCGCCCTTCCAGTCTCTTCTGTGACCTGTACCCCTCCCTCCCTCACACACCCGCATGCCCATTGGCACGTCTGTGTAGCACTGACTGTTTGAGTCGCAGAGATGGATGAGAGTCCCTTCCCCAGCGCTGCCCGCCCCGCCCGGCCCTGCCCGCTGCCTGACCGCGCCTTTGCCTGCAGGAGACGCCGTCCCGGGAGCTGAGGACCCGGCCGCCGGGGACGCCCAGGCCGCGCGGCCCTACAAGCAGGAGCCGGGCAGCCCCCCGCTGGCGCCGCCCGCGCTGCCCGCGCCCGCCCTGCCCGCGCTGCTGGCCGCCGCCGCCGCGGGCACCGTGTCCTGCCCCGAGTGCGGCAAGACGGCGCTGAAGCCGGCGCACCTGCTGCGCCACCGGCAGAGCCACTCGGCCGAGAAGCCGCACGCCTGCCCCGAGTGCGGCAAGGCCTTCCGGCGCAAGGAGCACCTGCGGCGCCACCGCGGCACGCACCCCGGCGGCCCCGCCTGCCCCGGGCCCGCGCTGCGCCCGCTGCCGGCCCGCGAGCGGCCGCACGCCTGCTGCGAGTGCGGCAAGACCTTCTACTGGCGGGAGCACCTGGTGCGCCACCGCAAGACGCACTCGGGCGCGCGGCCCTTCGCCTGCTGGCAGTGCGGCAAGGGCTTCGGCCGCCGCGAGCACCTGCTGCGCCACCAGCGCATCCACGGCCGCGCGGCGGCGGCGGCAGCGGCTGCAGCGGCGGCGGCGGCCACCGGGGCGCCGGGCCCCGAGGGCGGGGGGCCCTTCCCGCCGTGGCCGCTGGGGTAGCCGCCGCCCGCAGCCCCCGCCTCCTCCCCGGACTGAGCCGCCGCCCCCGCCTCCCCCCGGACTGAGCCGCCCGCACCCCAGCGTCCTCGGGTCCCGCCGGGCTGTGTGCGCCCCGAACCCCGCGCTCCCGGCGGCGGCGCGGGAGGAGGCGGTGGCGGAGGGAGAGCTCCCGTTGCGGGCGGACTTGATTTTCCCCTGGGTTCACAGTAGCGTGTGTTTTTCCCCTGAATTTTGCCCCAGTTCGCAGAGGGCAGAGAGAGGTGGGGGCAATCCGACCTCCGCTCTGCCCCCCTGCTGACCGCCAGCCGCCCGCCCCGGGCAGGGGCCTCCCCGTGTCCCTGCCCCGCGCACCGCCCTTGGGGGGGGGGAGGGCGGGCGGGGCCCAGGGGAGGCGCTCAGGAGGCCCCTGGGGCAGAGGGGCAGCCGGAGGCAGGGGGCCGGGTCCTGCTCCCCCTCCGCCTCGCCCGGACAGGTTGGGGGGCAGGGGCGGGGCCCGGGAGGCAGGGGTGCGTGGAGATGGCGCTCCGAGAAGCGCGTGGACGCGGTTCACCAGCATCTGCCCGGAATAAAGTCACTGATGAGGGGCGAGCCCGCCGGCCTGTGTGGATGTGCCGTCTTCCCTGGGGGGGCGGGGGGCGGAGCCCTGGATCCCCCAGCTCCCGGGGCAGCCTGCTCTCCAGGCTAAAGATGGGCCCCGGTGAGAGGTGGTGGGAGGTGGCCGCTCCCACATTCCCCAGCGGGAGGTGCCACACGGGCCCCTCACCGGTGAGCGGTCCGTCCCTCTCCCAGGCGGGAAGGGCGGCTGGCTCCCCGCCTGCCGGGGCTGTGGGTCTGGAGACCCGGGCCGGGCTGGTGCTCCCAGAGGTCTGTGCGCCGGCGGTGGCAGAGGCCCGGATTGGGCCCCGGGTGGTCCTGTGCCGCCGCCTCCGGGTCTGGCCAGCGGCTCTGTAGTGTGCGCCCCCTCGGCCTCCGCACCCCTCCCGTATAGGGCGCCTGGCCTGGGGGCGGGGGCACCGGGAGCAGCATGGGCCGCCCTCGCTTGGTCTCCAAACCCATTCCAGTCCCATTTCCAACCCCCACCACCATGCCGTGTCCTCCCCAACCCCTCGCCCTCCCGACGGCTCCGCACTCGCGGCTTCCGATGGCTCTGGGGTGAGAGGAGAGGCGGCAGCGAGCTCCGCTGAGCAGGAACCCTCTGTGCCTGCCTGCGCCCGGGCCTCCACCTGCAGACCGGCTGGTGGGCGCGGGAGGGGCAGCACCTGTGCGCCAGCCCGGCCTCCTGCAGCCGCGGCCACCGCGCTGGGACAGGCACTGTTCATGCAAGATCCATGGGGGGAGCCCGAGCCCACGGGAAGCCCCTGTCCGGCCGCACTGAAGCTGAGGCTCCAGGGAGAGAGGAGGGAGAGGGACAGCCAGCAGATGCGGAGACAGCCGTGGACCTGGTTTTAAATAAAGGAGAGGCCCCGACCCGTGGCTCAGTGGGCAGCGCGTCAGCCTGCGGACTGAAGGGTCTCGGGTTTGATCAGGGCTGGTGCCGGAGGTAACCCATCTATGTCTCTCACATCGATGTTTCTCTGTCTCTCCCACTCTCCCTAAAAATGGGAAAATATCCTCAGGCGAGGACTAACAAAGAAAAAAAACACAGAGACACAAAAAGGGAGGGTGAGCCCACTGGCATGGCTCAGTGGTTGAGCTTCAAACTATGACCCAGGAGTCCACGGTTCAAGTCTCCATCAGAGCACATGCCCGGAGTCTGGGCTCCATCCCATGGGGGCCCTGCAGGAGGCAGCCAGTCAGTGATTCTCATCACTGATGCTTCACTCTCTCCTTTACTCTCTGAAATCAATAAAAATATATTTTAAAAAAGAGGGTGATGGGATGGAAAGGGTGTTTGGGGGTGGGCAGTGGAGGCTGAGGGCTCGAGGAAGGGCTGTGAGGAGGGGCCAGCTGGGGGCCTGGGTGACTCCGGTGGCGCTGGCGGGAGTCCCAGGCCGCTGTGAGTGTGCCTCCACTGTTGTCCTGCGTAGCTTCTGACTCTGACTAGCATAGGAACTGACCAATCAGAACCATAGGTGGGTGCTGGCTGGCTAGGAGGCGGAGCTTCTGATGCTGACTGGCATAGGAACCGACCAATGAGAACCAAATCTGGGTGCTGTGATGAGCCAATGGCTGCCTAGGAGGTGTTGTTTTTTTGTTTTTTTTTAATTTATTGATTTTGTACAGAGAGGAAGGGAGAGAGACAGAGAGTCAGAAACATCGATGAGAGAGAGTCATCGATCAGCTGCCTCTTACACACCCCCCACTGGGGATGTGCCCGCAACCAAGGTACATGCCCTTGACCAGAATCGAACCCGGGACCCTTCAGTCCCCAAGCCAACGCTCTTATCCATTGAGCCAAACCAGTCTTGGCGGAGGTGGAGTTTTGAGGCTGACCGGCATAGGAACTGACCAATCAGAACCAAATTGGCCAGCAGAGGAGGGCGATTGGGGGCAACCTCAGGCCTGCAGGAGAGGGCAGTTAGGTGTGATCAGGCTGGCAGGCAGAAGCAGTTAGGGGTAATCAGGCAGGCAGGAGAGCAGCTGGGAGCCAGTGGTCCCAGATTGTGAGAGGGATATCTGACTGCCAGTTTTAGGTCCCATCCCTGGGATCAGGCCTAAAATGGCAGTCAGACATCCCACAAAAGGTCCCTAATTAGAGAGGGTGCACACTAAGTTGAGGGAATCCCCCTCTGTGCATGAATTTCGTGCACCCAGCCTCTAGTATATAAATATTTTCCCGAACTGGTTTGGCTCAATCGATAAAGTATCTGCCTGCTGAATCAAGGGTCCCAGGTTGGTTCTGGTCAAGGGCATGTACCTCAGTGACAGGCACATCCCCAGGAGGGGTGTGCAGGAGGCAGCTGATCGATGTTTCTCATCAATGTTTCAAACTCTCTATCTCTCTCTCTTTCTCTCTGTAAAAGCAAAAACAAAACAAAAAAGCAAACCAATAAAATATACATATAAAAATAAAAAATATGGTGTATCAGACATCCACACTGCACTGGGTATTCTGTAGGGAGTCTGGCTATTCTCCTGGGAGCTCCCTATTTTACAAGGAAACAAAGGACAACAGGAGGACAAACAAAAGATAAGGGCTGAATCATGAGATATTTATTGAAAAAAAAAGTAGCAAGACTGACACAGGATATGGGGCCAATAGGGAACATGAGTGATCATTGGAGGACCCCAACCCTAATCCACAGCACCCCCCGTGTCTAAGTGTTCATGGACCATTTCTGCACCCGTTCCTGTCCTTCTGGGTCAGCAGGGACGTGGAGCCTCCGGATTGCCTGGTTGACATGCCGTTTGGTGGCGTTGAAATGTCCCCAGTTGGCGGAAGGCCCCGTTGCACCGGGGACACGGGTAGGGCCTCAGGCCCGAGAGGGTGCACATGTGGACGTTGAGGTTCCCTCTGTGGCTGACCTTCTGGTGGCAGATGTCCCACTGGTACGGCCCCTCCTGGGTGTGGACCCGCTGGTGGCCACACAGCGTGGACTCCCGGGTGAACCTCTCTGTGCGGACGGTAAAAGCGGATCGGCTTCTGGCCCTTGTGAGTCCGATGGTGGACCCTCAGGTCCCAGGCCTGAGGGAATCTCTTGGGACAGAAAAGGCATTGGAAGTGACCCTCTCCCGTGTGTGTCCTCCGGTGAAGGTCTAACTGGGATTTACTACTGAACCTCTTGTGGCAGTCCTCACACTCGTTCGGGATCTGTCTCCCGGGTTCTGTGCCAACAGGGTGACCAGCTGGCTCCTCGGTGTTTGATGCACCGACTGAATCGGACCCGCGCTGTCCTACAACTTGCCCTTGGTCCGATGGCGCGGCTGCTTCCTGAGGCTCTGCTTGGACGGTGGGAGTGTTCCCCCTTTTTCTCTTGGGGGCACCTCTTGGGGTCCGAGGACCTCTCCTCTTCCGACGTCGATTCAAGACCTCAGGGACGTGGGTGGGATGTTCGTCAGGGGCACCCACGTGTTCAAGGCCGATTCCTTCTTGGGGGCTCTGCTCCCCCTCTGTCATCACCGAATCTCCTGAAAGAGAGGGTTCAACGCACAACATGAATAAACGGTTTCGGCCCGGCTCAGGGACTGAGCACCCACCCAGCAGCCAAGAGAGCGCCAGCTCCACTCCCTGTCAGGGCAGGTGCCCGGGGTGTGGGGCTCCATCTCCGGAGGGTGCCATGCAGGAGGCAGCCAATCCATGATTTCCTCTCTCATCGACGTTTCTATCTCTATCTCCTCTGCACTCTCTCTAACAATCATATATATATATATATATATATATATATATATATATATATATATAGAGAGAGAGAGAGAGAGAGAGAGAGAGAGAGAGAGAGGACACTTTTAACACTCCCAAAAGCCTCTGAACCAAAGCTGATGGTGCTTGAGAAATTGGCCAGCAGAGGAGGGCAGTTGGGGGCAACCTCAGGCCTGCAGGAGAGGGCAGTTAGGTGTGATCAGGCTGGCAGGCAGAAGCAGTTAGGGGTAATCAGGCAGGCAGGAGAGCAGCTGGGAGCCAGTGGTCCCAGATTGTGAGAGGGATATCTGACTGCCAGTTTTAGGTCCCATCCCTGGGATCAGGCCTAAAATGGCAGTCAGACATCCCACAAAAGGTCCCTAATTAGAGAGGGTGCACACTAAGTTGAGGGAATCCCCCTCTGTGCATGAATTTCGTGCACCCAGCCTCTAGTATATAAATATTTTGCCCGAACTGGTTTGTCTCAATCGATAAAGTATCTGCCTGCTGAATCAAGGGTCCCAGGTTGGTTCCGGTTAAGGGCATGTACCTTGACCGGAACCAAAACTGATGGTGTTTGAGAAATTCCCATCAAGCAACAAACCCGAGAGACAAGACCTCACGACGCCAGGGCATCCATGGTGGACAAGGCTTGGCATGGAGAGCCACCTGTCGCCAATAGAGGGCAGGCTGCCTGCCCACTCAGATCCCCAGCACAGGGAGCATCCATATTCCCTCTGAAGCCCCGATCCATACTCACCAGGACTGCTGGGAAGCAGAGCATCTGGAGGTGTGAGAACCGCTGCCTCTTCCTCTTCTTCCATCACATCCTCCTCCACCTCCTCCGACCTCACCGTGGGCCTCACACCTTGCAGGTCACTGTTAGTGGGAATCGTCTCTGGCAGGAGGACTTGCTGCCCCTGACAGTGGGCGAACAAGGGTGGTTAGACGTGTCTGAAACCAGGGGTGGGAATCTCTGTCCCTCCTTCCCCCATCCTGGTGGTCGGCAAACTGCGGCTCATGAGCTTCATGCAGCTCTTTGGCCCCATGAGCTTTTAGCAAAGGCCAGCTTAGGAGTGCCCTGATTAAGTTAATCACAAAGGACCCACCTGTATAGATTAAGTTTAAAAAATCTGGCTCTCAAAAGAAATGTCAATCATTGTACAGTTGATATTTGGCTCCGTGGACTCATGAGTTTGCCAACCAGTGCCCCATCTGGTCCATCTCCCTGACCTGAACCCCAGGTTACCTAACACCCATCACCCCCAACTCCCAATTCTGGACCCGGCCATCCCCACTCCTCACTCTGATAATGCCCAGTAGATTTCTACTGGCCTGTGGACCAAGCACAGAGGTCAGGGATTCTTGATGGGCCACGTTGGTTCAGAAATACCCATGAACTGAACGCTTCCCCTGGATGCATTCCAGGGTCCCTTTCTAGCCTGTGTCCAAATTCCCAAATGCCATGGCAGCTACGGGCTGCACGAACCCTTGAAGCCGCTCCCACCCGTCCCCACAGATCAGGGCGTCACACACTCACTTGTCCCCCCACCACGTCACTGGGTCCTGGCTGGTTCTCCGGCCCTCCTAGGACCCCTGGGCCATTCTCAGGATGTGCCCCCGCCTCACTGATGGGGGCTGAAGACTTCACGGACAAGTCCAGCACCAGATCCTCGTCCGAATTCTCCAGAAGATATTCCTGCCCTTGGATGGTGAGCACCCTCTGTGGGGAGGAAATGAAACAGGATGAGACCCGGCAGGCACCCTCCTCCTTGCCTGTGTCCTCCTCACACTCACACTTAGAGTTTCCCTCTGTCTCCCTTCCCCATTCTCTCTCTAAAAAAGGAATTCTTTCAATCATCCGCCCACATGGTGGCAACCAAACATGTCTCCCAACATTGCCACAGGCTCCCTGGAGAGCACGGGTGCCATCCCTCCACCTGGTCCGTGCCTCAGTTTCCTCACCCATGAGGCAGAACCAACAAGTCTACCGCCTGGTGTTATTCTGAGGTCGTTAGGAATGTGTGGTTCGGGATGGAAGATCACATGTCAGAAGATGTCCGTCTAAGGCATGCTCATGTGGCCTGGGCGCTGAGGCTCAGTGGTTGGGTATCTACCTATGAACCAGGAGGCCACAGCTCGATTCCCGGCCAGGGCAGACCACCGGTTGCGGACTTGATCCTGAATGGGCTGGTGGGAATGTGCAGGAGGCAGCCAATCAATGATTCTCTCTCATCATTAATGTTTCTCTGGCTCTGTCTCCTCGTCCCTCTCTTAAGTCAACAAAAATATATTTAAAACATAAAAAACACAGAACACTAAAGAACGGGACCCTGTACATTGACTGGCCTCCCTTGCCCTGCCCATCCTGAAGGTGCCGCTCACCCATTTCCTGGGTTTCTCCTTCTTCCTCAGCAAGGCCTCCAGCTCCTCGCAGCTCTGCACCTTCCTCTCCCGGACCAGGACCTGCAGCTCCAGGGGCATGCAGGTCATGAACTTCTCCAGCACCAGCTGGTCCAGGATCTGCTGCGTGGAGCGCATGTCCGGCCTCATCCACAGGTTGAGAAACTCCTTAATTGTGTGCACGCTCTGGAGGGGGTCCGAGCCCTCCGAGGGATGGAATCCTCTGAAGCGCCTGTGCCACCACTCGGAGTCCTCGTACTGTTTCTCCGTGAGGCGTCCCTGGGGCCATCCTGTCGGTGGCAGCGCCCAGTCCAGGCTTCCCTGTGTGCTCCCAGGACCACCTGAGAACACCTGGAATGTAGCCATCGTCACTGGAAAGGTCTTCAATGGGACTGGAGCGAACCTGTCCTGAAGTCAGCTCCTGAGGGAGAGTGAAAGAAAGGACAGATGAGGTAACAGATCCACAGTCCTGGGAGATGAGAGGAGATAATTTGATGAGTTGGAGTGTTGACCCGTCCAATACGAAACAACCTTCATACAGGTCCCATATTTAATGCCACGGAGGTTAACCCATAGTATTCTTCTTTTTTAAAAAAAAGAAAAAATAAACAAACATGTTTTTATTGATTACAGAGAGTAAGGGAAAGGAAGAGAGAGATAGGATCATTAATTAATGTTTCTCATTAATGCACTCATAATGATGAGTAAATCATTGATCAGCTGCTTCCTGCACACTCCCCACTGGGGATGTGCCTGCAACCAAGGTACATGCCCTTGACAGTAATCGAACCTGAGACCCTTCAGTCCGCAGGCTTACGCCCTATCCACTGAGCCAAACTGGTTTTGGCTAGTATTCTTCTTTTAAAAAAATATTTCATTTTATTGATTTTAGAGAGAGAGAAATGAAGAGGTGAGAGAGAGGGAGAAACATCAATCAGCTCACACCTGCACTTGCCCAATGGGGAATGGAGCCTGAAAGCTGGGCATGTGCCTGACCAGAAAACCATCCAGTGACCTGTAGGCTCATGGGTCGACACTCAACACCTGAGCCACAGCCGCTGGGCTCCAAAATCTACTTCAATAAGAAGTCAGCGTCTGTAGCTTCTCCAGACAAGATGCAGGGGCCTGGCCAGGTGGCTCAGTTGGTTCGTGCACGGTCCTGGCCAAGCATGCGAAGAGAGTGAGAAAGAGAAATTTGTGTGTCCAGGGATGGATGCACCGAGTGGTTGATTCATGTAAGTGCCCTGACTGGGTGCTCTAACCAACTGGGCTACTCAGCCAGGCCCTAAGTCTTGTTTAATGAGTTTAATTTATAAGAATGGAGGAATTGGTCACACCTACATAATCCCATCCCAGAAAATGCGCTTTGCTCTTGGGAATATGGAGGTAACAAGATTTTTTACGTGAAACCTTCAGGCTAGTTTGATTGGCTTAGTGGATAGAGCGTTGGCCCACGGACTGAAGGATCCATGTCCAGGGCACATCCCTCAGGTGCTGGCTATATTCCCAGCCTTGCATAGGGTGGGTGCACCAGGCAACCAATGGATGTGTCTTTCCCACATCCAATGCTTCTCTGTGTGTGTGTGTGTCTGGCTCTCCCACTCTCTCTAAAATTCAATGGAAAAGCATCCTCGGTGAGGATTAAGCAACAAGGAGAAGGAATTGTCACAGGCCCTAAGGGACCTTCCAGAGGGAAGAGCCACTTCCCAGGATTCTCAGAGACCAGGTTTCTCTCAAGGGCAGCAGCTATGAACACAGGGCCCCCAGCCATCCTTCCCCCACAGGGAGGGGGTCCACCTGAAGGTCAGGGCAAGGTCGCTGGAGAGTCAGGAGGATGAGATCATAGGTTAGGGGTGAGTGTGTGTGTGTGTGTGTGTGTGTGTGTGTGTGTGTGTATAAGAGGTTCCCTAGAGTTTCTTGTGTGGAAGGTGAGAACACATGTGTGAAGGCATGAAGCCAGGAAGCCATGGGATTTCAGAGGTTCCCTGCCCCTGGAAATCAGGGAGGAGGCAGGAATATGTCAAGTCATTTCTAGAAAGTTTGGGCTCCTTTCACATTAAGGAAGCCCTGGACAAACAGACAAAAAATCACACCACCCACAGAGACAGCCATGGATGGAGTCACAGAGACACACAAAACCAGCTCCGCGATATGGAATCACCCAACACACCCATGAATGAGACGACGGGACCCAGCAGAGGGGGTGCCTGTACACAGGGGAACGTTACTCGGACATAAAAATGGGTGAGACCCTACCATTGGCCAAACCTGGGGTGAGCCCCAAAGGTCTTAGGCTGCGAGAAACACCCCAGTCAGAGAAGGACAAGTTACCACTAGATTTCCCTTCCACGCGCAATCTAAAGAACAAACTAAAGCACCAAACTCACTCCCAAACACGGAGAAGGGACTGATGCCTGTCCCAACCGTGCCTGGGGGGAGGGGAGGCACTGCAAGGCTCCCTAAGGTGCATAGGACAGCACCCCCACCTCACCCCAAAAATAAAGATGAATCAGGTCAAAAAAGCTAACAGTGTCCTAGACTGCACAGCCCTGGTTTTGAATAGAAACCACGCCCCTGTGTGAAAGGGTGTGCTGGGGAAATACCTGGTTTTCACAGGATCTCAGAAATGATGCACAGCGCACACAATTGGGTCATTCTAAGACAAATACCCATCCACGCATCCATCCATCCATCCATCCATCCATCCATCCATCCATCCATCCATCCATCGATCCATCCAGCCACCCAGCCACCCAGCCATCCACTCATTCATCCTTCCATCAGTCCATCGATTCTCATTGAGTTCCAAACGCCCAGCCTCTGATGGCCTCGCCCCACTCACCGCCTCCGCAGCGCCCGAGCTCGCACCTCCTGCAGCCTGCACTGGCCACCTCTGGGCCCAAAACTGAAATACGCCTGTTTATATACACGCTCCTGGCATCACTTCCTGTTTAAGCCCCGCCCTGAGATTGGTTAGAGACCAGGCACTGATCCATTTCTCATAATCTTTTTAGATGGGGTTTCCGGGAGAGAAACACCCCGCGGCCTTATGCGGGTGTGGGCCTCTGAGCTCCTGCGCACGTGTCTGCAGCTTTTGAAGGACCCCAGACACGTAGGCCTGGCCCTGGCGGCTGTGGCTCAGTGGTTCCAGCGAGGGCCTGGGAGCCGAGGGGTCGCAGAGGGTCCCAGGTTCGGTTCCCCTCTATATTTTTCTCTCCCTAGAATCAATTTAAAAAGAATAAATAAAAACGCCCAGCCAGCTTGGCTAAGTAGTTGAGCATCGACCTATGAACCAGGAGGTCACCGTTAGATTCTGGATCAAGGGCATTGGCCTGTGTTTCAGATTCAATCCCCAGTATGGAGCATGCAGAAGGCAGCCGATCAATGGTGCTCTCTCCTCATTGATGTTTCTATTTCTCTCTTCCTCTCTGAAATCAATAGAAATCTATTTAAAGCCCTAACCAGTTTGGCTAAGTGGATAGAGTGTCGGCCTGTGGACTGAAGGATCCCAGGTTCGATTCCGGTCAAGGGCATGTACCTTGGTTGTGGGCACATCCCCAGTAGGAGTTGTGCAGGAGGCTGCTGCACAACAAGAAGTTTCTAACTCTTTATCCCTCTCCATTCCTCTCTATATAAAAAAAAAAATATCAATAAAATATATTTTAAAAATAAACCAAATGGCTAATTTAAAAAAAAAAGAATCTAAGTTAAATCTATTTTATAGTTTAGATAATAAATTTCATGCGACTGGTATTTTATCTCAATAAAGAACATCTTCTCACTTTATTTTTATTGTTGACGCTATGACAGCCGTTCTCACCTCCCATACCCCTGCCCTTTGCCCATCTCCACGCAGTTCCCATCCTCCCTGCCCTCAGGCCCTCACCTCAGGGCTCTGCTCCCGAGCTCTGCATAGGAATTATTTCTCTAATCCCTTTACTTTCTTTCAGACAGTCCTCCCCTCCCTACTGCCACACCTGATAGCTTAATATAATAAATATTTTTTAAAAACTAGTTTAGTCCAGCCGAAGTGGCTCAGTGGTTGAACGTCAACCTACGAACCAGGAGGTCACAGCTCAGTTCTGGGTTAGAACACATGACCAGTTTTCAATGTTGTTCCCCAGTGGAGAGGCATGCAGGAGACAGCTGATCCATGATTCTCTCTCATCCTTGATGTTCTTTCCCTCTCCCTCTCTGAAGTCAAATAAAAATAAAAAAATAAAAAAAGAGTTAGCCAGTGAATGCAATGCTCTTTGGAACTACACATTTCTCTCTTCTTCTCTCTCTCTGTATCTCCGACTTTCAAAAATCGTAATAAAAAAAAAAATACCAGCTATTGGGATGTGATTGGTAAATTTGAATCCCTGTGTTGGTCACCTCAGGGCCTCTGAGCGCCTGTGCATGCGCTCTGCATATGGGCATCAACCTACAAACCAGGAGGTCACAGATCAACTTCTGCTGAAGGCATAAGCCCAGGTAGCAGGCTCCATCCCCAGTGTGGGGTGTGCAGGAGGCACCTGATCCATGATTCCCTCTCATCCTCCATGTTTCCCTTTCCCTTGGCCTTCCTCTCTGGAATAAATATGTATGTTTTAAACTACTTGGGGAATTCATGCACAAGTGGGGTCCATCTGCCTGGCCTGCTGGATCCAGCCTAAACCGGCACTCCAACCTCCCCCCAGAAATCACAGATTGCAAGAGGGTTCAGGCAAGGTCAAGGGACCCCACTAGGGCATGATCAGGGAAGGGGAGGGAGTCAGGAGGTTGGCCTGCTGGGAGGGATGGTGAGAGAGGTCCAGGGGGAGTCTAGCCTGTCTTGCTCAGTCCCTATGAGGCCAACCTACAGGTCAGAGCGAATGCCCCCTGGTGGTCAGTGCACATCATAGCGAGAAGTTGAGTGGCCTTAGCATATCGTCAGCATATTAAGCTTTGATTGGCTGAACGGCCAACCAGTTGACTGGGCACTTAGCATATTAGGTTTTTATTATATAGGATTGTGGACAGTGTCCCCCACTTTCCCCCTCTTTTCCCCCTCCTTGCACCCCTGCCCCACCCCAGGCCTTCCCACACGGCTGTCTGTGACCATGGGCTATGCCATATGCACAGCAATCTTTGGTTCATCTCTTTCCTCCTCCTCCTTCCTCCCCCCTCACCCCTGTCAGTCTGTTCCAAGCATCCAGGCCCCTGGACCCAACTTGTTCACCAGTTTATTTTGTTCATTAGATTCCACCCTTGATTACAGCATTTAATCCATTTACATTTCTCTCAACGTGATGCTCCGTGAAATTTGAGTGTCACATAAAGGGATAATTCAGAACACACGTCTAAAACATGCTGTGGACCTGGCTGGTTTGATTCAGTGGATACAGCCTTGGTCAGCAGACTGAAAGGTTCCAGGTTCAATTCATTTAAGGGCACCTTCCAATTATGGCCTCCCAGCCCCACTATGGGAATACAGGAGGCAGCTGATAAAAGATTCTCTCTCACCATTGATGTGTCCATCTCTCTCTTCTGTCTGCCCTCTTCTCTGAAATCAATAAAAAATTATATGTATATTTTTTTAGGAAAAAAATGTGTTGTATCTGACATCCACTTTGCATTGGATATACTGTAGGCCAGTGTTTCCCAAACTTTTGACATATGTGTACCCCTTCTATAATTTTCATAACGCTGAGTGCCCCTCGTACTCATGAGAACGTAGAATTAGGAGCAGCTAAGCATGGTGCAGTGCATATCCCCACCGAACTCCGGTGCAACGAGTACCCCCACCAAACTCTTCCCGTACCCCTGGAGGTACCCGTACCACACTTTGGGAAACACTGCGTAGGCAATCTGGCCACTCTCCTGGGACCCCCCTATTTTACAAGGAAATAAAGGACAACAGGAGACAGAAGGGTAGCGTCCTGCAATATTTATTGAAAAAAACAGCAAGACTGACACAGCATAGGGCCCAATGGAAAACATGAGTCATCATCGGAGGACCCCCATCCTAATTCACAGCACCCCTAAGTGTCCATTTCTACACCAGAGGCCTGAATGAACCTCTGGAGGCGGGGGGGGGGGGCACGGGAAGGGCCTCTCTCCCGTGTGTGTCCTCCGGTGAAGGTCAAACTAACTGGGATTTGTCCCTGAACCTCCTGCTGCAGTCCTTACACTCCTAGGGGATCTGTCTCCCTGGTTCTTTGCCGACAGGGTGACCAGCTGGCTCCACTGCGTTTGATGCACTGACTGAATCGGACCCGTGCTGTCCTACAGCTTGTCCTTAGTCCAATGGCTGCTTCTCAAGGCTCCTCTTGGGGAGCTGGACTGTTCCCCCTTTTTCTCTTGGGGGCACCTCTTGGGGTCCGAGGACCTCTTCTCTCGGGACGATGGGTCCAAACCTGTGTTCAATACAGTCAGTGCATCAAGCACCGTGGAGCCAGCTGGCCAGCCCGTTGGCAGACATGGCAATGGAAGCTAGGGTTAGAGAATGGTGCAGTAATGGAAGTCACTGGACCGGTAAGAGGAGGCGAGTGATCCAATGATGTCACAGCCCTGGGTGGCCTTGGGGGGGTGGCTCTGGTCATGCCACCAGGAGTCAAGAGTCATGATTGCAGCGGGGCGGGACGAGACAGACGCGACATACTCCGCATAACGGACCGTCACCTTCTCGCTGCGGTACCTGGTGAGTCTGAGGGTTTCTCGGAGTTCGCTGGTAATCGGGCCCTCAAAACCGCCTTTCCTGAGCAGGGAGTCTATTGTCTGGACGTGGTCCCAGCCTTGGCCCTTGGCAACCTCCGGCAGATATGTGGCTGTGCCTTGGACACCCTTCTCGTCCACGAACTCCATGAGAATCCCGTGGACGCCCACCTCCCAGTCCAGGTAATCCCTGGCTTCCTCAAAGTCAGTGAGGAGGGAGACGGAGCAGGAGAGTGTAGGCAGCTCCTGCGGGGTCAGCGGGGGGAACCGGCTGTCCCTGAGGGCGCTGATGAGCGCGTAGCCCCTGAGTCCCGCGTGGAGGCTCAGGGCTGAGAAGGTGCCCATGCAGCCGCGAAGCTGCTGGTCCCGCCCCGCCTTCCAGGTCACAAAGAGCGGGAAGGGGTCGTCGGTGAATCCGGGACGCGGCGGCTGAGGGAAGCCATGGAGGTGACAGTGGAGGACGGCGAAGCAGTAGCAGCCCATCTCCGGGGTCACCACCGGACGCCTGGTGGCGCCGGCGGCTCCACTGGGTCCGGGAAGAGCACGCAGAGCCCCGGATTCGGGATTCATTGCTGCGGCGGGAGAGGTTCCAGGTGCCGGGGTTAAGTCCGACACGTTCTCCCCACCGTTGCTGCCATCCATCTCGACGTGGAATCTAAAGAACAGAATAAACGACCACACTCACCGCCAGACACGGAGAGCGGAGTGATGGGTGTCACCACCGGGGCTGCGGGGAGGGGAGGCACGGCAAGGCGCCCAAGGTGCACAGGACAGCATCCCACCCCAAAATTAAATGAAATAAAGATGAATCCGGTAAAAAAAAAAAAAAAAAAAAAAAAAAAAAAAAAAAAAAAAAAGCCAATAGTCGCCTGGACTGCAATGTTCTGGTTTTGAATAGAAATCACACCCTGTGTGTGAAGGAGGTTTGGGGAGACCCTAGGTTTTCACAGGATCTCAGAAATGATGCACAGCGCACACACCTGGGTTATTCTGAGACCAATCTCCCTCCATCCATCGGACCATCCATTGGCCCATCCATCCTTCCATCCATCCATCCACTCATCCATCCCCCCATCCATTCACTCATCCAATCATCCAATCATCCATCCATCTATCCATTCATCCACCCATCCTCCCATCCACCCATTCTCCCATCCATCCATCCACTCATCCATCTATCCACCTATCCACCCATCCTTCCACCCATCCATTCATCCATTCATCCAACCATCCTTCCGACGGTCCATCGGCCCTCACTCACTTCCAAATGCCCCACCACGGATGCTCTCGCCCCACTCACCGCCTCTGCAGAGCACAGACCCGCACCTCCTGCAGCCTGCACTGGCGAGCTCTGTGCCCAGAGCTGAAACCCCCCTGTTTATATACACGCTCCTGGCATCACTCCCTGTTCTGGCCCCGCCCTGAGACTGGTTAGAGACTAGGCACTGATCCCTTTCTGATAATCTGTTTTGATGAGGTTTCCGGGAGAGAAACACCCCGCGGCCTTATGGGGGTGTGGCCTCTGAGCTCCTCCGCACGTGTCTGCAGCGTTTGAAGGACCCCAGCCAAGTAGGCCCGGCCCTGGCGGCTGTGGCTCAGTGGTTCCAGCGAGGGCCTGGGAGCCGAGGGGTCAGGGAGGACCCCAGGTTCGGTTCCCCTCTATCTTTTTCTCTGCCAAGCATCAATTCAAAAAGAATAAATAAAAATTATAAAGTCCCAGCCAGCGTGGCTCCGTGGTTGAGCATTGGTCAAGGGCACACGCCTGGGCTTCAGGTTCAATCCCCAGTGTGTGGAGAGGGAGGCAGCGGATGAATGGTTCTCTCTCATCATTGATGCTTCTATCTCTCCCTCTCCCTTCCTCACTGAAATCAGTAGAAATCTATTTAAGGCCCTAAGCGGTTTGGCTCCGTGGATAGAGTGTCGGCCTGTGGTCTGAAAGGCCCCAGATTTGATTTCGATCAAGGGCATGTACATCCGGGTACATCCCAGTAGGAGTTGTGCAGGAGGCAGCTGATCAATGTTTCTAACTCTCTATCCCTCTCCTTTTCTCTCAGTAAAAAATCAATAAAATATATTTTTAAAAAATAAAATAAAGCAAATGGCTAATTAAGAAAAAAATAAATCTAAGTTAAATCTAACAGTTAAGATGGTAAATTTTATGTGGCTGGTATTTTATCTCAATAAACACCTTCTCACTTTATTTTTATTGTTGACACTATAACAGCCGTTCTCACCTCCCTGCCCTTAGCCCATCTCCACTCAGTTCCCATCCTCCCTGCCCTCAGGCTCTCACCTCAGGGCTCTGCTCCTGCTCTCTGCATAGGAATTATTTCTCTAATCCCTTTACTTTCTTTCAGACAGTCCTCCCCTCCCTACTGCCACACCTGATAGCCTAATATAATAAATATTTTTTTAAAAAAACTAGTTTGGTCCAACCAGAGTGGCTCAGTGGTTGAACGTTAACCTAAGAACTAGGAGGTCACAGCTCAATTCCAGGTCAGGGCACATGTCCAGGTAGCAGGCTCCTTCCCCTGTGTTAGGGGCGTGTCCGCCACCAAGGTCATGCCCTTGACCGGAATCAAACTTGGAACCCTTCGGTCCACAAGCTGCCGCTCTATCCACTGAGCGAAACAGGTTTCGGCCTTCTTTGCCTCTTTCACATCCTTTGGGTTACAGTCTTTCATCTAACAGGAGCCTTGCTACCCTTATTTGCATGACATCTCCTTCCCAACCCTTTCCTTTCCGTCTATGTGTCTTCGGAGCTGAGGGGAGTCCCTTGCAGACAGCACGTGTGCGGGTCTTGTCTTCTGACCCATTCAATCATCCTGTATCTTTTTATTATTCACTAGAGGCCCAGTGCAGGAATTCATGCACAAGAGGGGTCCATCTACCCGGCCTTGCTGGATCCAGCCCAAACAAGCCCTCCAACATCCCCCCAAGGGGTCCTGGATTGCAAGAGGGTGCAGGCCAGGCCGAGGACCACACTAGGGTATGATCAGGGATGGGCAGGGACTCCGGAGGTTTGCCTGCTGGGAGGGATGGTGAGAGAGGTACATGGGGAGTCCAGCCTGTCTTGCTCAGTCCCTAGGAGACCAACCCCAGCAGCAAGTTTATCTACAAGTTGGAGAGAATGCCCCCTGGTGGTCAGTGCACATCATAGGGACAAGTTGAGTGGCCTTAGCATATCATCAGCATATTAAGCTTTGATTGGCTGAACAGCCAACCGGTTGACTGGGCACTTAGCATATTAGGCTTTTATTATATAGGATTGTGGACAGTGACTCCCACTTTCCCCCTCTTTTCCCCCTCCTTGCACCCCTGCCCAACCCCAGGCCTTTCCACACGGCTGTCTGTGACCATGAGCTATGCCATATGCACAGCAATCCTTTAGTTCATCTCTTTCCTCCTCCTGCTTCCACCCCCCTCACCCCTGTCAGTTTGTTCCAAGCATCCAGGCCCCTGGACCCAACTTGTTCATCAGTTTATTTTGTTCATTAGATTCCACCCTTGATTGCAGCATTTAATCCATTTACATTTCTCTCAACGTGATGCTCCGTGAAATGTGAGTGTCACATAAAGGGATAATTCATAACACACACACACACACACACACACACACACACACACACACACACAACTAAAACAAGCTGTGGCCCTGGTGGGTTTGGCTCCGTGGCTACAGCATTGGCCAGCAGACTGAAAGGTCCTAGGTTCCATTCCCTATTTTACAAGGAAATAAAGGACAACAACAGACAGGAGAGTAGCGTCCTGCAATATTTATTCAAACAACCAGCAAGACTGACACAGCATCTGGGGCCAAGAGGGAACAAGAGTCATCATTGGAGGACTCCGATCCTAGTTCACAGCACCCCCTAAGTGTCTACGTGCTCATGGACCATCGCTCCCCGGGGCGCTCCTCGGCAGGTCCTCTGGTGTCGCTGGAACGTGCCCAGCTGGCGGAAGGCGCCATCGCACCGGGGGCACCTGTAGGGCCTCTCGCCGGAGTGGGTGCGCAGGTGGACGTTGAGGTTGCCCCGGTGGCTGAAGCTCTTGAGGCAGACGCCGCACTGGAACGGCCTCTCGCGGGTGTGGACCCGCAGGTGGCCGCGCAGCGTAGACGCGTGGGTGAAGCGCTCCCCGCAGACCTCGCAGACGAACGGCTTCTGGCCCGTGTGGGTCCGCAGGTGCACCTTCAGGTCCGAGGCCTGGATGAACCTCCTGACGCAGGAGGGGCACGGGAAGGGCCGCTCTCCCGTGTGCGTCCTCCGGTGAAGGTCAAACTGGGATTTGTAGCTGAACCTCTTGCTGCAGTCCTTACACTCGTACGGGATCTGTCTCCCGGGGTCGTTACAAACAGGGTGGTCGGTTGGCTTCACAGTCAACTGGTCACCAACTGAATCGGACCCGCGCTGTCCTACGACTTGTCCTCGGTCCGATCTCATGGCTGCTTCCTGAGGCTCCGCTTGGACGGTGGGAGTGTTCCCCCTTTTTCTCTTGGGGGCACCTCTTGGGGTCCGAGGACCTCTCCTCTTCTGACACTGATTCAAGATCTCAGGGACGTGGGTGGGATGTTCGTCAGGGGCACCCACGTGTTCAAGGCCGATTCCTTCTTGGGGGCTCTGCTCCTCCTCTGTCATCACCGAATCTCCTGAAAGAGAGGGTTCAACACGCAACATGAATAAAAGAAGTTTCGGCACAGCTCAGCAGCCAAGAGGGCACCAGTTCCACTCACTGTCACCCTGTCAGGGCAGGTGCCCAGGGTGTGGGGCTCCATCTCCGGAGGGTGCCATGCAGGAGGCAGCCAATCCATGATTTCCTCTCATCCATGTTTCTATCTCTCTCCATTCCCCCTTCACTCTGACAATCAATTAAAGTATATATATATATATAATTTTTTAGAGCACTTTTAACACTCCCAAAATGCCTCCGAGCCAAAGCCGATGGTGCTGGAGAACATTCCCATCCACCAACAAACCCGAGAGACAAGACCTCAGGACGCCAGGCGGTCTGTGGTGGACAATGCTTGGCATGGAGAGCCACCTGCCTTCCATAGAGGACCAGGCTGCCTGTCCACCTGGATCCCCAGCACAGGGGGCATCCATAATCGCTCTAAAATCCCTGATCCATACTCACCAGGACTGCTGAGAAGTGGAGTCTCTGGAGGTGTGAGAACTGCTGCCTCTTCCTCTTCTTCCATCACATCATCCTCCACCTCCTCCGACCTCACCGTGGGCCTCACACCCTGCGGGTCACTGTTCTGTGGAATCGTCTCCGGCAGGAGGAATTTCTGCCCCTGACAATGAGCAGACAAGGGTGGTTAGATGTGTCTGAAACCAGGGGTGGGAATCTCTGTCCCTCCTTCCCCCATCCCGGTGGTCAGCAAACTGCGACTCATGACCTTCAGGCGGCTATTTGGCCCCATGAGCTTTTTAGCAAAGGTCAGTTTAGGAATGCCCTGATCAAGTTAATCACAAAGGAACCACATATAGAGTTTAAGTTTAACAAATGTGGCTCTCAAAAGAAATGTCAATGGTTGTCCTGTTGATATTTGGCTCTGTGGACTCATGAGTTTGCCAACCAGTGCCCCATCTGGTCCATGCCCCTGACCTGGACCCCAGGTTACCTAACACCACAGTTTTGGGGCTCTATCTAGACTTCCTAGAGGCCAAACCCATCACCCCCAACTCCCAATTCTGGACCTGGCTCTCCCCACTCCTCACTCTGATAATGCCCAGTAGATTTCTACTGGCCTGTGGACCAAGCACAGAGGTCAGAAACTCTTGAGGGTCCAAATTGGTTCAGAAATGCCTGTGGACTGAACGCTTCCCCTGGATGCATTCCGGGGTCCCTTTCTAGCCTGTATCCAAATTCCCAAATGCCGTGGCAGCTATGGGCACCACGTCCCCTTGAACCTGCTCCTACCCGACCCCACAGATCAGGGCGTCACACACTCACCTGTCCCCACGCCGTGTCACTGGGTACTGGCTGGTTCCCCGGCCCTCCGAGGACCTCCGGGCTGTTGTCAGGATGTTCCCCCGCCTCACTGATGGGGGATGGGGACCTCGCGGACAAGTCAATCACGAGAGGTGTGTCCCAGACTTCCTCGTCCGAGTACTCCTGCTCATCGATGGTGACCATCCTCTGTGGGGAGGAAATGAAATGGGATGAGACCCCGGAGGAAAGCCGCCTCCTTGCCTGTGTGCTCCTCACACTCACACTCACAGTGAAACCTCACAGGGATGTTCCCCTCTCTGTCCTTATGTTCACCCATCACACCTGTATGTCAAGCCCATGTATTCTACTCCTTCCTCATCCCAGGACAGTTTTCCCATTGGTTTTTAGAGAGCAAGGAAGATAGGAGGACGGAGAGAAGGAGGGAGGGAGTGAAGGAGAAGAGAAGAGAGAAAGAGATAGAGATAGAGATAGAGATAGAGATAGAGAGAGATGCTGATGTGAGACAGCAACATTGATCAACTAGTGTCCCAGTGCACAAAATTCATGCACATTAAAAGGGAATTAGAAAATATATATTTTAAACATATATTTTATTGATATTTTACATAGAGGAATAGAGAGAATTCGAGAATTAGAACATCAATGAGAGAGACTTAGATCTGCTGCCTCCTGCAACCTCCCTCCTCCCACAATTGGGGATGTGCCCACAACAAAGGTACATGCCCTTGACCAGAGAGACAGAGAAAGAGACAGAGAGAGAGATGAGACACTTGACGGTTGACTCCTGAACTCCCTCTAACTGGACAGGGAATGGAAGCTGCAGCCCAGGTATGTGCCCTTGACTGTGCCCACAGCCATACAGTCCTGGCTCCGATGCTGGAACCACTGCAAACACTGGCCAGGGCCACAGTGTTTAGTCTTCATTCTCTAGGCCGACATCCCCTGGGCATCTCAACTGCTGGCTGCCTCCAAGTGTGGAAGCAAAGCCACTCTGACCCGGCTATCCCCACTCCTCACCCTGGTAACGCTAAGAGGAACAGTCTGGCCTGTGAGGTCAGACTCTTTATGGTCCACGTTGGTTCAGAAATACCCGTGGTTTGCCGAAACCGGATTGGCTCAGTGGTAGAGCGTCGGTCTGCGGACTGAAAGGTCCCAGGTTCGACTCTGGTCAAGGACATGCACATTGGTTGCACATACATCCCGGTAGGAGGTGTGCAAGAGGCAGCTGGTCGGTGTTTCTCTCTCATTGATGTTTCTAGTTCTCTAGCTCTCTTCCTTCCTCTGCAAAATATCAATAAAATATATTAAATAAAAAAAAGAAAGAAATACCTGTGGTTTGAATGCTTTCCCTGGATGTATTCCGGGTCCCTTTCTAGCCTGTGTCCATATTCCCAAATGCTGTAGCTGCTACAGGCACCGCGTCCCCTTGAACCTGCTTCCACCCGTCCCCACAGATCAGGGCGTCATCCACTCACCTGTCCCCATGCCGTGTCACTGGGTCCTGGCTGGTTCTCTGGCCCTCCTAGGACCTCTGGGCCATTCTCAGGATGTTCTCCCACCTCACTTATGGGGGTTGAAGACTTCAGGGACAAGTCCAGCACCAGATCCTCCTCCGAATTCTCCAGAAGATATTCCTGCCCTTGGATGGTGAGCACCCTCTGTGGGGAGGAAATGAAACAGGATGAGACCCGGGAGGAACCCTCCTCCTTGCCTGTGTCCTCCTCACACTCACACTTAAAGTTTCCCTCTGTCTCCCTTCCCCATTCTCTCTCTAAAAAAGGAATTCTTTCAATCATCCGCCCACATGGTGGCAACCAAACATGTCTCCCAACATTGCCACAGGCTCCCTGGAGCGCACGGGTGCCATCCCTCCACCTGGTCCGTGCCTCAGTTTCCTCACCCATGAGGCAGAACCAACAAGTCTACCGCCTGGGGTTATTCTGAGGTCATTAGGAATGTGTGCTTCGGGATGGAAGATCACATGTCAGAAGATGTCCGTCTAAGGCATGCTCATGTGGCCGGGGTATCTAGAGGCTCAGTGGTCACACTTCCATACCCGGCCAGGACATACCACCAGGTGGGACTTGATTCTCAGTGCAGGAGGCAGCCAATCAGTGATTCTGAAATCAACAAAAATATGTTTAAACAATAAAAAACAGAACACTGAAGAACGCTACTCTGTACGTTGACTGGCCTCCCTTGCCCTGCCCATCCTGAAGGTCCGGCTCACCCATTTCCTGGGTTTCTCCTTCTTCCTCAGCAAGGCCTCCAGCTCCTCGCAGCTCTGCACCTTCCTCTCCCGGACCAGGACCTGCAGCTCCAGGGACATGCAGGTCATGAACTTCTCCAGCACCAGCTGGTCCAGGATCTGCTGCGTGGAGCGCATGTCCGGCCTCATCCACAGGTTGAGAAACTCCTTAATTGTGTGCACGCTCTGGAGGGGGTCCGAGCCCTCCGAGGGCTGGAATTTTCTGAAGCGCCTGTGCCACCACTCGGAGTCCTCGTACTGTTTCTCCGTGAGGCGTCCCTGGGGCCATCCTGTCGGTGGCAGCGCCCAGCCCAGGCTTCCCTGTGCGCTCCCAGGACCACCTGAGAACACCTGGAATGTAGCCATCGTCACTGGAAACATCTCCAATGGGACTGCAGTCAGCTCCTGAGGGAGGACGAAAGAAGGGACAGACGAGGTAACAGACACACAGTCCTGGGGGAAGAGAGGAGAGAATTTGATGAGTTAGCGTGTTGACCCGCCCAATACAAAACTCCCCTCTTATGGGTCCCATATTTAATGCCACGGAGGTTAACCCATAGTATTCTTTGTAAAAAGTATTTCATTTTATTGGTTTGAAGAGGTGAGAGGGAGAAACATCAATTAGTTGACACCTGCATCCTACCCAATGGGAATGGAGCCTGAGAGCTGGGCATGTACCTGACCAGGAAACAATCCAGTAACCTGTGGGCTCATGGGTTGACACTCAACACCTGAGCCACAGCCGCTGGGCTCCAAAATCTACTTCAATAATAACATCACAGCGAACACACCTGGGTCATTCTGAGACCATCCTCCATCCATCCATTCACCTTTCCACCCATCCATCCATCCATTTACCCATCCATCCATACACCCACCAATCCATCCATCCATTCTTCCATCCATTCACCCACCCATTTAGCCAGCCATCTCTGTCCAAAGGTCCATCCATTGGTCCTCACTCACTTCCAAACACGCAACCGGGTCATTCTGAGACCAACCTCCATCCATCCATCCATCCATCCATCCATCCATCCATCCATCCATCCATCCTTCCATCTATCCAGCCAGCCAGCCAGCCAGCCAGGTCTCGGACCATAGGTCCCTCCGTCCTAATTCTCTTCCAAAAGCCCGGCCTTGCCCTGTATTGGACGCCCTGGTCCCACTCACCTCCTCCGCAGCACTAGCCCGCAGCGCCCGAATCGCACCTCCTGCAGCCTGCACTGGGGAGCTCTGTGGCAGGAGCTGAAACCGCCAGTTTATATACACGCAACTGGCAGACCTTCCTGTCACCGCCCCGCCTGTGATTGGTTAGGCATTGATCCATTTTTGTAATCTGCTTAGATGTGCTGTCTGCTGGGTTTGAAATCCCCAGACGCGTAGGCCCCGCCCTGGACGGTGTGGCTCAGTGGTACCAGCCTGGGCCCCGGTGCTGAGGGGTCGTGGAGGGTCCCAGAGAGTCCTAGGTTCGGTTCCCCTCTACCTTTTTCTCTTGCTAGCATCAATTTTAAAAGAAGAAATAAAAATTGTAAAATCCCAGCCAGCGTGACTCCATGGTGGAGCATCGGCCTATGAACGTGGAGGTCAGGGTTGAACTACGGGTCAAGGGCACACACCTGGGTTTACAGGTTCAATCCCCAGTGTGCGGTGTGCAGAAGGCACCTGATCCAATTCTCCTCTTCATAGAAGCTTCTGTCTCTCTCTCTCCTGCTTCCTTTCTCTCTGAAATCAGTAGAAATCTATTTGCAATAATAGTTAAGATGTTACATTTCATGTGACTGGTATTTTCGCTCAACTTTAAAAAAGATTTTTAACTTTATTTGTATTGTTGATCCTATTACCTGTGCCTCCCTTCCCCTTCCCCGTGCCCTTTGCCCACATTCACCCAGTTCCCACCCTCTGATCCCCTCATCCCCTCACCGTTAGACAAATTCGATTATTTCTCTAATCCCTTTAGCTTCTTTCAGACAGTCCTCCCCTCCCTACTCCCACGGCTATTAGCCTAAAATATTAAGTATTTTTTAAAAACTAGTTTGGCCAAAGCCGGTTTGGCTCAGTGAATAGAGCGTTGGTCTGCGGACTGAAGGGTCACAGGTTTGATTCCGGTCAAGGGCATGTACATTGGTTGCGGACACATCCCCAGTGGGGGATATGCAGTGGGCAGCTGGTCAGTGTTTCTCTCTCATTGATGTTTCTAGCTCTCTATCCATCTCCCTTCCTCTCTGTAAAAAATCAAATATATATATATATATATATATATATATATATATATATATATACTTGTTTGTTGCAGCTGGCTTGGCTCAGTTGTTGAGAGTCAACCTCTGAACCAGGAGGTCACAGTGAATTCCAGGTTAGGGCACATGCCCAGGTTTCAGGCTTCATCCCCAGTATGAGTCAGGAGGATGAGAGCATAGGCTAGGGGTGAGTGTGTGTGTGTGTGTGTGTGTGTGTGTGTGTGTGTGTGTGTGTGTGTAGGAGATTCCCTAGAGTTTCCTGTGTGAAAGGAGAGACCACATGTGTGAAAGCATGAAGCCAGGAAACCCTGGGGATTCAGAGGTTTCCTGTCACTGAAAATCAGGGAGGAGGCAGGGATTTGCCTGGTCATTTCTAGAACGTTTGGACTCCTTTAAGAAGGCCAGGGGAAAACAAACATAAAACCACCACTAACCACAAAGACAGCCATGAAGTCACTGAGACACACCAAATCAGCACCACCATATGGAAGCATCCAACACACCCATGAATGAGACGATGGGACCAAGCAGAGGGGGTGCCTGTACACGAGGGAACATTACCCAGCCATAAAAAGCGATGAGACCCTCCCATTGGCCAAAGCTGGGATGAGCCCAGGAGGTCTTATTCTGGGTGAAATACCCCAGTCAGAGAAGGACTGGTTACCACTAGGTTTCCCTTCCATGTGGAATCTAAAGAACAAACTAAATGACCAAACTTATTCCCAGACACAGAGAACCGACTGATGGTTGTCACAACTGGGCCTGGGGGGAGGGGAGGCACTGCAAGACCCTAAGGTGCACAGGACAGCACCCCTACCTACCCCCCAAAATAAAGATGAATCTGGTCAAAAACCCCCATAGTGGCCTAGACTGAAAAGCATTTTTGATCGGATTCATTTAATATATATATATATATATATATATATATATATATATATATATATATATATATTTCTTACAGAGAGGAAGGTAGAGGGATAGACAGAAACATCGATGAGAGAGAAACATCCACCAGCTGTCTCCTGCACACCCCCCACCAGGGATGTGCCCGCAACCAAGGTACATTCTATTGACCAGAATTGAACCTGGGACCCTTCAGTCCACAGGCTGATGTTCTATCCACTGAACCAAGTTGGTTTCGGCCAGATTCATTTTTATTTTGGGTTTGGGGTGGGGTGCTGACCTGTGCATCTTGGGGTGCTTGTCAATGTGTTTGGTGTCTGGGACTGAGTCAGGATGGCTGGCTAGATGGGTAGATGGACAGATAGGTGGATGGACCGATAAATGGATGGATGGATGGATGGATGGATGAGTAGATGAATGGATGGGTGGGTGGATGGATGGGTGGATGGATGGATGGATGGATGGATGGACAATTGGATGGATGGACAATTGGATGGATGGATGGACCAATGGATGGACCAACGAATGGATGGATGGATGGATGGATAGATGGATGGATGGATGGATGGACGGACGGACGGATGGAGGAACAGATGGACATACGAATGGATGGACGAACGGATGGATGGATGGAAGGATGGGTGGAGGTTGGTTTCAGAATGACCCGGGTGTGTGGGCTGTGCATCGTTTCTGAGATCCTGTGAAAACCAAGGATCCTCCAGAACCCCTTCACACATGGGGTGTGGTTTCTATCCAAAACCAGGGAATTGCAGTCTAGGCCACTGTTGGCATTTTTTTTTTTTTTTTTTTACCAAATTCATCTTTATTTTGGGGTGAGGTAGGGGGGCTGTCCTGTGCACCTTAGGGAGCCTTGCAGTTCCTCCCCTCCCCCCAGGCCTGGTTGTGACAGCCATCAGTCGGTTCTCGATGTCTGGGCGTGAGTTTGGTTGTTTAGTTTGTTCTTTAGATTCCACGTGGAAGGGAAATTGTGTGGTAACTAGTCCTTCTCTGACTGGCATGTTTTATGCAGCCTAAGACCTTCCAGGCTCATCCCAGCTTTGGCTAATGGTAGGGTCTCATCCCTTTTCATGGCTGAGTAACGTTCCCCTGTGTACAGGCACCCCCTCTGCTGGGTCCCGTCGTCTCATTCATGGGTGTGTCGGATGCTTCCATGTCATGGCACTGGTGTTATCTTTCTCTGATGCCATGGGTGTATTTGTTGTTGAGTTTTTGTTTGGTTGTCCATGGCTTTCTTAACGTGAAAGGAGCCCAAAAGTTCTAGAAATGACCAGGTAAATCTCTGCCTCCTCCCTGATTTCCACAGACAGGAAACCTATGAATCCCCATGGTTTCCTAGTTCATGCTTTCACACCAGTGTTCTCACCTTCCACACACAGGAAACTCTAGGGAACCTCCTACACACACACACACACACACACACACACACACACACACACACACCTGACCTATGGTCTCATCCTCCTGATTGTCCAGCGACCTTGCCCTGACCTTCAGGTGGATCCCCTCCCTGTGGGGGAAGGATGGCTGGGGGCCCTGTGTTCATAGCTGCTGCCCTTGAGAGAAACCTGGTCTCTGAGAATCCTCAGAAGTGGCTCTTGCCTTTGGAAGGACCCTTAGAGCCTGTGACAATTTCTCCTTCTTGCTGGTTAATCCTCACCAAGGATGCTTTTCAACTAATTTTTAGAAAAATATATATTTTATTAATTTTTTACAGAATGGAAGGGAGAGGGATAGAGAGCTAGAAACATCGATGAGAGAGAAACATTGATCAGCTGCCTCCTGCACACTCTCTACTGGTTATGTGCTCTCAACTAAGGTATGTGCCCTTGACCGGAATTGAACCTGGGACCCCTGAGTCCCCAAGCTGATGCTCTATCCGCTGAGCCAAACTGACTAGAGCTCAAATGATTTTTAAAGTGAGTGGAAAGGAGAGGCAGAGACACACAGAGAGAAACAAGGATCTCGGAGAGACACATCGATTGGTTGTCTCTTGCATGCAACCTATCTGACCCAGGAATTGAGCTTGCACCTGAGGTATATGCCATTGCCATGGATCCTTCAGTCCATAGGCCAACCCCTCTTTCTGCTGGGCCAAACCAGCCAGGGTAGACAGTTCCATTAAACATTTTCTACCTCCAAATTTTGAAGAGCAAAGAGTACTTTCTGGGGTGAGAGAGAACAAGAGGTTCCACTTGGCATTGCATT